GTTTCGACTGCAGGAATCTACCCAATTCCTTGCTCTCACAGGCTATTCTTTCCCCATGTGCCAGTCAGCTTAACTAGGACCTTTTTCTGAAATACGTGTATCTTTCCCAGGTGAGGGAGATGTATATCAACGCAGTGCTTTTGCTAGTGATGCTTTACCCAAATGGAACATTACAAACTGCCCTTGCCCCGTGCTTAAGTTCGTTCCCTTCCTCAGCCACACGAACTCGGTCGAAGAGCGAGCACGGCCTCCTATTCTAATACAGCATCAGGTGAGCAACACTACTCGAAACAAAACTGACAGACCTCGGAGAGCCTGGGAGTAGGATCGAATAACGGACGTGATTGTGCATATATGTTTATAAGTTGCATCGTATACCGCACGGGTTTACTTTTCAAGGACAACGTTCTGAATTCAGGAAAATTTCTCAAGAGGGTATATTAGCAAGCGTGTAAGCGAAGAGAAGCTCGTTTCACTTACATATTGTGAGGTATTGTTTTTTTAACTATCCTGGAATGGAAAACTTCGCTCAGGAGAGATCTTCTAGAGAAAAGGAACATGTGGTAAAGGGGGACGGTAGACGAACTGGAAGGCTGTGTACTTTCATTTTGTCGTTTTTCATAGCTGTGAGCAAAATAGAAGTATGCCAGCTAATCCGTGGACATCAAAAAGCCATGCTCCTATGTATATATCCAGTTGGTTAAACAGGACCATTTTCCGTTTCTTTTCCAAACGGAAAGGCCTAACCGACTTGAGCTCCAAGTTAGGAGCGGGTGACCATATTTCAATCCTTTTTTATTCACGTGTGAATGACATGTCTTGAAAAACCCCGTTCTGAAAACACCCAATTTTAAGTATGTTTTTCGACTGTGGGAGCGGTGTATTTGATTGTAGTTGGCTTCGATGCACACCTCGCTTCAAAAGTGCTTCAGGGGTGAAGTGCTGAGTGACACGTTTGACCCGAAATCCGTACTCCGGCAAAAAGCCATAATGGGATATTTGTGCGTAAAAAGTTTTTCGCTCATCACGCTACCTGCCTCGATAGCTACCCAATTCCTTTCCAGAGCTCTACAGATTTTCGAGTTTCCTTTTATTTTCATTAATGTTTCTAAAGAACAACATAAGAAATCTGTTCATTAATACTGACGGTAGCCACTTGCAACTGTGTACCAGAAACGCGCCTACACTCCATTCGTGTCACATATGTGACGTCTCCGATCACCCGCCAGATAAGACATGAGGTGGGCCGGTTAACTAGTTGATTTACATGTACTTCATAGTAATCGACTGAAAGGTGGCGCCTCTATTCAAGAGCCCTTTGAAATGTAAATATTTATTTTCAATCACCGATATTACTGAATTCAATTGATGCCGAGTCTGATCAGGATTTGCACAGCTTTCACATAAAAATGGCCCTATATGAATTGGTCACCCCGTTCATTAGCGCTCCACTCAAATGTCAGGTCGTACATTGGTCTTGTTAGCAGTTTTCGGTGCTCTTTTAGGGGTAAGTATTGTTGAAGATCCATTGGTGACTTCTAAATCATTTTAGATTACCTGTATCATAGGGAGTATGGTACCAGTTTACTAAATGGAAGCCCTCTAAACCCGTTCAACCACAAGTTCTTATTGCCTATGCTCCTTTCATGAATGAAACCAAAACTGCGAAAGCAATCCTAAAGAAACTGCTAGCAACGCCTCAACGTGTTGTGAGTTGGTTTTTTCACTCTTCTGGAAAAACCTGTACAGTCAATTCGTTCATGTACGTGAAGAAAAAAGTAATCCTCGAACTAAAGGATAACGTCACTGCCTATATCTCTTTTGTATTTCTATTTTTATGAATACATTTTTCGAATTCCTTTACCTGAAACGCTATTGTAACTTCATATATTCATTTCATATTGACACATTGTGTAGCGAAGGAACGGGTCAATGCTTTAACGTTATCGATCGCTATGAGCTGGCCTCGGAGAGGTGGGTAACTTTACCATAATTTTAGTAGTTTCATGAAATTAGGCGAACGTACAGTAAGTATCATAAGGGATTACTGAAATGATTATCAATATCACTAGGTGGCTTAGCGAGACCTGACGTAAAGGCACAGTTCGTGATAATTCAATGGGTGGGAATGTCAATGACGTGTCCGCCTCTCATTCGATGTCTCGTCAGACTCTCTGACGCTACATCGAATGAGAGGCAGACACGTCATTGACATACCCGCCCCTTGAATTATCGCGAACTGGGCCTTTAAAGGAGTCGATGCTTCGCCAAAAAGAGAGAAATTTCAGCAAATCTTCACTCTGATCGGTAGACTCTTAGACTCTCCAAACGCTAACCCATTTGGTGACCCCTGCCTGAAATTTAATCTCATGCTGATTACCATAAAAGCTACTTCAGCAGCTCACAATAGAGATGGAACTGTACATACATTATGCTCAACA